CTCCACCTTGATTTCCTTTAAATGTGTTTTATTTTCAAATTTGGCTCTTCTAAGCTCTCTGTCATTTACTGCATTTCCTTTCAGTACCATGGAAAGTTCACGAAGGTGGTTCAAGTTTTCCAAATCTCCAAGAGTGAATTCATTAGGGTCATTTCTATCAGCTCTGAGCACGATGCCACGTAGTTGCCTCAGATTTGTTAATCTTCTCGCTGATTTGGGGTAGCAAGCTAACTTGTAGCAATGTAGAGTCCGCAGATATATCAAGTTGATCAAATTCCCTATCTCATTTGGTAAATTCCCAAGAGATTCGCAGTTGTCTAGATTCAAATATTGAAGATTATTTAATTTACACAAAGATCCAGGCAATCCTTTAATTTTACCATTTCCACTCAAGTTAATGTGCCTTAAATGGATCAAATTCCCTATTTCTTTTGGAATTGTACCCATTAATGCATTATGGCAACCAAAATCCACCAACCTTAGCCGTTTAGCTTGATTAAAAATATTTCGCGCAGTCTCATTGGTTACTGCATTCTCTCCAGAAATGACCGTAAGGCTACGCAACTTTTCAGCACCATAAATGGAACTAGGAAGACAATGTCCCTCTGGTATACATGCTGTCAAATGACGAGCTCGACAATGTCCCTCTGGTATATATGCTGTGAAATGACGAGCTCTGCTCAAAGACAAATCTATCGTTGAATTGCCTCCTTGATTTACCTCAATCCCAATTCCATCATTGATCATCAAAAACTGTGCAAAGTCATGCATAATGTCATACATCTTCCATGTTGATTTTAGACCATCAGTATCCAGCAGAAAATCTTGGAAGAAAGAGCAAGCTGCTAAGTAGCTAATGTACTCTCTTCCTTTTAATTCTAAATCTTCATCATTGTTCAATCCTAAATATCCTAGTGCCATCCAGTGGTATATTATTGTTTCTCCGTCATATACAAAATCTTTTGGGAAAACAGCACAATACTTGAAGCATTCTCTCAGTGGTAAAGGCAAATCATTATAACTCAAAAGTAGAGAAGCAAAAAGCTGTTTACTCACAAAATCCAACTCCCAGATTTCACTGTTCAAGATCTTTTCCCACGCTTTCCTACCGCTGTCAAATCTTAGAAGGGCTCCTAGAATCTTTGCAGCAAGAGGCGAGCCTTGACACTTGTTAGAAATTCTCTTCCCAATATCCTCTAAATTCCGACACTCTTCAACACCCCTTCCAGAAAATGCTTCTCGACTAACTACCATCCAACACTGTTCATCAGATAACGGTTCCAAATGAATGACATGAGAGTCCTCCATCATATTTGCCACCGTATCCTTTCGAGTGGTTAACAAAATCCTACTTCCTGGGGCACCATGTTTGAAAGTCTGGATCAGTCCTTCCCAGTGTTGCATGTCATCTGCCCACACATCATCCAACACAAGAAAAAATTTCTTTCCGTGGATAGATCTACACATTCTATCAAGAAGAGCAGAAAGAGGAAATGAATCAAGGGAGTCTGCTCCTTTAAATCTTTTAACATGCTCAACTCCTTTAATTATTGTTTTGGCAACTTTTTTCTCGTCAAATACTTCCGAGACACAAACCCATATTCTATTATCAAAATGCTGCTTAACTTCCTCATCGTGGTAAACAAGTTGAGCAATAGCTGTCTTTCCCACCCCACCCATGCCAACAATAGAAATTGTCTTAAGTACTTCAGTAGACGCAGACAACAAACTGCTTACAATGTCTCCCTTAACCTCATCTCGACCAATTATAGCTGACCCACCAGCAAGAGCTGTACTCTCAACCAATCTGCTGTGTTGAAACAAAGATCTTGATATTAAGCGGAATTCACTTCTATCATTGGCAATCTCATCTAGCCTGTCACTGATTTCCTTTAATTTGAAAGCAAGATCATCACGCCTAACAACTTGGGCAGTATGTAAACAGTGGGTGATGTAGGAGCCTAACTTGGCATTCAAAATA